TTCTAGACATATACACAATGGTCTAACCTATTGGCTATATAACCAATTTCAATGATTGCATTATGAAAAGTAAAGTACCATTGCCTAGAAGACTGTTTTAGAACATATAAAGATTTATTAATTTTATATACTCTGTTTTCTTGGCCTTTAATTACATATCCTTCTGGTTGTTTCATGTATATATCTTCTTTTAATTATCCATTTAAGAAAGTTGTTTTGACATTCATTTGAAATAATTCTATATCATAATATGCAACTAATGCAAGGATAATCATAATAGATGAAAATTTTGCTACTGAAGAATAAGTTTCTACGTATCTATGCCCACCCTTTGGGTAAATCCTTAAGCTACCAACCTAGCTTTATATATATCAATGGATCTATTTGCATTAAGTTTTTTCTTTATGACCCATTTGCAACCGATGGCTTTTCTATCTTTAGGGAGGTTAATCAAGTGCCAGACTTGATTTCTTTTAATAGAATCAAGTTCATCATCTATGGCTTGAGTCCATTCAGCTAAGTCACGTGAGCTAATAGCTTCACTGTAACTACGAGGTTCATCTATTGTATCCTCACTCATTGAAGAATAATTATCTTCATTCATAAATACATAAAATTCTTTTAAAGTCGTAGGTGGGGCTCTAGCTCTTTTAAGCATATCTGGTATACTTGATTCAATTGAATCATTCTCACCAAATGTAGAGGGAGTCTAAGAAATAGGGTCTTTCAGACCCTTACCTTTATCAATTTCATGTTAGTCAATAGGCTTATTTAAAATATTTTCATCATCTATATTTTCTAAGAAATGAGCATCACGACTCTCTACTAATGATCTAGTATCATGGTTATAGAATTTATACCCTTTAGAATTTTCTGAATAGCATATAAAAGAGCATTTTATAGTTTTACTTTGTAATTATCTCTATTTTATGGTAGTATAAGCATATGTACCCAAGAACCCCAAACTTTTAAGATAATAAAGTCAGATTTCCTACCTGTCCATAATTCATATGGGGTCAAGTCTATATATTTAGTTGGAACACGATTAATGATATATATTACAGTGTTGAGAGCCTCACCCAAAAAATGAGGTGATAAATTTGAATGGCACATCATGGATCTAACCATGTCCATTAGAGTTCTATTTCTCCTTTCAGCTACACCATTTTGTTATGGTGTATATGGCATAGTTGTTTGGTGAATTATACCCTGCTCTTTACAAAACTCAAAAAATAAGGCGGGGCAATATTCACCTCTCCTATCTGTTTGAAGAATTTTAATATGTCTACCTAACTGATTTTCTACCACAGTTTTATATTCTTTAAATGTTTCTAATGCATCTGATTTCTTACTAATTAGGTATACATATCTATAATGTGAATAATTGTCTATAAATGTTATGAAATATTCCATAACTCTATATATTTTTCACATTTAATGGGCCACATATATCAGAGTGAACAATACTAAGTAACCAGAAAATGATGAACTTTCATTAATATTCTGTCGGTACAAATTGTCAACTTTAGTACCGTACACCAAAGCTCTAGAATGCTTCCCAATGGTAACCCAACCAGACCTGAACCTTATTTCATAACCCTTGTCGTCTAGCCTTGGGACATAAATCAAATTGCGCCTCATATTGGGCGCATAAAATGTATCAGTCAATAAGAGATTTGCTCCTCCTGGTAAACACAGCTTGAAAATACTAACACCTAGTACATCGTAGTAGGTGTCATTTCCCATATAAATCCGCTGGTTACCGACTGCAAGCTCTTTCAATTCTGTGAATCCATCCTTGATCTTCGAGACATGTCGAGTGAAGTTGGGTCGACCCATCAATTTCTCAGGTCATGATCGGCAACTACTTATTCTAGGACTATGCAGATCAAGTCCTATTTTGGTTGTCATTTTGGTTCCTATTTTTATTTTTCAGCTTAAGACAATTAAACTTGATGTGCCCAATTTTGTTACAATAAAAACAGGTATTCTCAACCTTATTCTTTTTATTTTTAAAATTTTTTCCTCATTCCTTTATACCTAGTATTTTTCTGATAATTGAAAAGTTTCTTGAGGATCTGAGAAGATGTTTGGGCAAAGTGGAGCTCATTTGACTTCTTCCTCATTTTTCTCTCAGCTTCAATACTAAGATGCATGAGAATATTTAACATGGTTATCCCTTGTGCAGAATGGTTCAATGCAATTACAACAGACTCCCAAGATGGAGGGAGACTGTTAAGGACAATGGACACTTGCATATGATAGGGGACTGGATTCTTAGCTGCAGCAAGGTCATTTGCGAGCACTGTTATTTTATTGATATGTTCGGCCACTGAGTCTGTTTCTTTCATTCTGCAATAATTGTATTTTTCTAACAATAATTGTACATGGATCTTAAAAGTGGTCCCATACTTTTCAGATAGGGCGCCTATCATACTTTGAGCTATGGTGTAATCCTCAAATACTCTAATTAAATCATCTTCCATAAAGCTCAACATAGTAGTCCTAGCTACTTTGTCATCTTCTAACCATTTTTCAAGTCTTCTTCTAGCTTGACCATTGGCATTAGGCTCTAAAACTGGTGGTTTTGTTTCTAGGACATAATCTACCCTATCTTGAAAAAGAATATATCCAATTTTTCTTTTCCACATAGAAAAATTGGTCCTATTGAGTTTTTCAAGTTTGGATATTCTAGCATGACTAGCCTAGATGCCATTTTAAATTTATAGATAATACCTAAAAGTTTAAAAATAAATTTAATTGTATTTAAGAAAAATGTTGTTTGCTAGCTAAATCAATAATTTTGTGGACTCTCAGTGAGCTGGACCCACTCCTAGGATTAAGGGTAGTATCTTTAGACTATTAATCGCAGATCAAGTTTTTACTAGAACTTTGAGAACTCTGTAAATTTCCGTGTACCTCTCCATGGCCATAAAACCCTTCTTAAGGAGGGATGGAGGAGGTCGTTCTCCAACGTTCGGCTTCCTCCTGAAATCTCTGATAAAACGTGCGATGGAGGAGGCTGTTCTCCAACGTTCGGCTTTCTCCTGAAATCTCTGAAAAACCGTGACCCTGTAATCCTAAGAAGTGGGTGGTTACTTTCTTGTCGTTAAATAACGGCACTTTATCTCTTTGAGAAGTCTCACTTTTTTTAGTGATAAGCATTAAATTATAAGAGAGAAAAATATTACACGTTTAAAGGCCTTATAGCCACACACACGTACCAACCTATTCTGCTCTATCAAAGGCCATATTTTATGTGATACGAAGAGTTGCATCGACAAAAAGAAAAGAGAGAAGAGCGAATCCATAAAAAGGTGATAAAGTTAGGGAGGATGCGGGCATGAGCTTGATTGATTAATGAGCTGAATTTATAAAAAGAGTGTCGAGAGAGAAGACCGGTAAGAGAAGAGAATCAGAACTGAAAAAGGTGAAAAATAACATACAATAAATGGGGACTTTTAGGTCATGGAATATCTTGGAAGACAGAGAGGCTAATTTAGTCAAGAATAAATGGGATAGACCGTCAGATAGGAAAGGGAGAAATTTGAGAGAGAGAGCGACGAGGAATTTGGAGGGAGAGATATGTAGCCTTCTATAGAAAAGGCCAAGAGATAGGTAATAATGGCAAAGGGCGGGTCAGGGCTAGTCCGGGCTCAGTCTAGCCCTATTAGAATGAGTTGAGTGATGCACGAGTAAATAATAAACCAGAAAGATGAAAAAATAAGTAAATATTAGAATTAGCTGAGTGATGCAAAAGAAAATAATAAACTAGACAAATGAAAAGAAATAATAATAATGAAAGGTTGAGAGTTCACTCTAAGTTCTTTTCATTAAACTCTTTATTGAATCACCAATCACTCTTATGACAATTTCACAATGAGGGATTTCATTCCCTTAAATACAAAATAAAATAAATAAAAACTAAAAACTAAAAAAAAACTAAAAATTTCTCTCTTTCTCTTACAACTAAGATACCTATTTTTCCTTCCATTTTTCTCAATCTTTATCTAATACTTATCATATCTAAATCCCTTAAATCTCTAAATTCTTATACAAATCTCTTATTCTCATACTTTCAACTTTTCTCAATCTTTATCTTACAACTAAGATACCTATTTTTCCTTTTATTCTTCTCAATCTTTATCTAATACTTCTCATATCTAAATCCTTTAAATCTCTAAATTCTTATGCAAATCACTTATTCTCATACCTTCCACTTTTCTCAATTTTTATCTAATACTTTTCACATCTAAATCCCTTAAATCTCTAAATTCTTATACAAATATATTAATCTTAAGCCATGTTAACGCCACCAACATCATGCATGACCTTTAAGTAAACAAGAAATAAGAAGGTAAAACTCTAAAAATTGAAAACTTCCCATCCTACTAAATTTCTAAAAAAAAATTAAATTTTTTTGTTTAATTTTTAACTGCATCACTAAGCCAGTCCAAAAATAAAAATAAAAATAAAAATAAAGAAAGAAAGAAAAACGAACGAGGCCGGGCTAACCTTGGCCCCGGGCCGCTCAGCTTAAAGAGCAGGATAGAGAAGAAAATAGTGTGTTCATTAGGAGGCCACAGGGCCAAGTGGCAAATGGGGTTGGCGTAACGGAAAGGATAGCTCCGCCAGTTTAAGTGAGAGATCGTCGTTAGAAAAGAGAGAAAATTGTGGCGCGTGAGCCGTCTTCTAGAGAGATAGAATAAGATTAAAAGATGGACAGAGAAGCCAAGTGTCGTTTGGTCTCTCCAAGCAAAAACGCTGTATATATAAAAAAAAGGCAAAAAGTATAAATCAAATAAACCCGAGCAAATTTTAAACACTAATAATCAATCAAGGAATAAATAATCAGATACCAGCCCATTAAGAGTAGACAAACAATACTCATTTTCCAATCAACCAAAAAAAAATAAAAAATAGAAAAAATAAACGATGGCGACTCCGCTTCTCTCAAATAATTGAGAACAAGCCACGAAAGTCCAAACCCTAATAAAAACGCATTAAAGAACCGCAAGAAAGAAAGCAAACAAACTTCGCAGGGTCTTCACCACAAATTTACTATTGGGCACCTTCACCGGAAACCTTGGGTTTTGGCCGCAATTTTTATCAGAAACCTCTCTCCAGGTAAGCTAAAAACCCTGACCCTTGGATTTTCCGCTACTCTTTGCAAATCCTGGTTAAAATTTCGGCCATTACACTCATTTTCTCCGTTATTCCTGTAAATTGGGGCTGAATTCAGTGCGTGAAACCCTAAACCGGATTTTGTGGGTTCTTCCGGCAATTTCCAGTTAAAGTTCAGGTAATAAAACCACAATCGGCGTTATCTGCGTTTGCTCTTTCTTCCTGCAATCAGGCCGATTTTCCTGCCATCAAACACCAACTCGTAGTTCTGTCCAATGTATCTTTAAATTTGTGCCAAAGTTACTGCCATCAAACCCTAATTCCTCTGCTACTCCAATTCCCTGCACATTCCGGTCAAGATTCTGGCCAAAATGGTGGCCGTGAATCCCCCGTCACTTCGCCGTCGAAACACGGTTCCGGCCACTGTGTCCATCGAGCTCAGGCTACCCTCAAAACCTCAACGCTCGAGCTTTCCCATGGCCGCCTGTGAAGCCAAAGAACTTGCAAACCTCGACCTCTCACCATACACAACCCTCGGTGACTTCTCGTACACAACCCTCAAGCCGCTATCATACACAAGCCTTCGCGATCTTCTACCGAGCTCACCTAATGCGATCCAGTCACCAACTGCGTGCGAACCAGTGGGTTCTGGTGGGCGCGAGATCTCTATAAAGAATAGGCTCGTCAAACAAGCGGCTTGGGCTTATCTCCAGCCTATGGCCGCTTCTCCTAGTGAGGCCGGAAATAGCTTTTTCCGGCGAGTGTGGTCAAGATTTACCGGCGACTTTGTCTGGGAGGACGCCGGAATCCAAATTTTCCGGCGACTGTGTTCGAGGTTTCCCGGCGCAATTTTTAGGGTTCCGGTTAGATCCTGCGTTAGCTTTCTATCGAGGCAGTTTGACAGGATATCGAGGGTTTTTGATAGGTTGATCCTTGGGATCAGGGGAAGATAACGGTGGCGGCCGGGCTCACCGTTATTTGGCGCTGAGGTCTTGGTTTGCTAATTGTAATTACAGGGTTTCGTGGTTTGTTTTCCTTTTAAGAAAAAATAGTGAAATTCTGAGTCTTTTGTGCATTCGGATCGATCCTAAACGTTGGAGAGAATGAGGGACGGTCCCCAATTGAACTTTCTTTCCCGAGAGGGACTGTGCCCAATTAAATTCTTCCTCAAAGAGAGACTGAATGAGTGAGTGAGGTTTCAGTTTCAAGAGAGTGATTATCCCCTATCAAAATCTTCAGGAGAGAGAGAGAGAGAGAGATTCTTCCCAAGTCGGAGAGAGAGGGATTCTCCCCGTTCAGAGCTCCATATCCTAATATTCAGATGAGAGAGCTTTCATTTATGGGCCCCAATGGCAATAGCCCTGCGTGTGAGTTAAAAGAGAGGTTCTTGGGATTCATAACCCCAATACCAGTAGAGAGAGAGAGTGAGAGAATTGTTTGAGATTTTGAACATTGCTATATTACAGGGGTCGATACCAGTGGAGAGAGAGAGAGAGAGAGAGAGAGAGAGAGAGAGAGAGAGTAGTTGTGTACGTATAGTATAGACTATAGTACGTAGTACGTACGTACTACGTACGTAGAGAGACGTACGTACGAGTAGTACGTACTATACGTACTAGTAGTACGT